GAGGAGGAGGAGGAGGAGAGGCTGACGGACTGGCAAGAATTCCTCAGCGCTCCTCAAATTTCTTGAAATCACGGACCTCCAGCTCGACTCCGTCCCGACAAACATCCAGACCAGCTCCCACCCTGCCGAGCAGATTTTCCTCGAGCGGAGCAGCTTTTTCACAAAAAAATGGTAACGTAAAACACGGAAAGTAGGATTTCTCCCACAAGTTTTTCTCAACCTCCTTACGGAACTGCTGTGGAAACGGATGGTTGGTGCTCTTCCTTTCTTTACTAAACATTACTTTCTCTCCCTCTCTCTTTTTCTTTACGTCCAGATGTTGCGAAGTGTGGCTGTGCTCCTTCTGCTGTCCGCGGCTCTCTACAACGCTGAGGTAAGTTTGGCTCAGACGGGTTTTTTTAAAAATTGTTTTTTTATTCCTACTCTGTAACTTCACATCATGTGGGGTTTAACATCGGCACCAAATGTTACCTCACAGTTGTATCGTTTCTTCTGGAGCCACATTAACACACGGCAGCTTTGTTCACAAAGCTAAGCCAGCTACACATCTGGAGTCGGTCAGTCTGTTATCCGACACAACACGGTGCTGTGGTGAGAACGAGCCGTTTCCATCAGGACTGTTCTCAGTCTAGAGCTTGTTATGGCATTTATCTTCCTAAAGAACCAATTGTGCCATTATTGTTGAGACTCTGCCCAATTATGAGCTTCATTATGGAGACAATGAAGCTCACAGTTTATTTACATTTTCCTGTGGGGACATTATCCTCATTCCTAAAAATCATGGCACATATGACACACCGGATTGTGTGTGTGTGCGTGTGTGTGTGTGTGTGCGCGCGTGCTTGCGTGTGTGCGTGCGTGTGTGTTGTTGACTGTGAACTGAAACAAACACTAACATTTTGCATCCTGCTGGACCACACACACACACACACACACACTCACACACACACACACACACACACACACACACATATATATACCCCTCCTAATCTCAGTTTTTTTTGTGGAGTTGTGAAGTTAACAGCACGGCAAAAGCTGCCACAAGAGTACAAGAGTGACACAGGAGTGACAGACAGCTGCAAAAAGAAAAGAAGGGAGGGGGCTGTTTGTGTTCATCTCACAAACCCTGCTCGCCTTGGGGTTTGATGGCCCTCATCATCAATATTGTTGCTTTGCCCTCGGTGCAAAACACTCCGCCAACTGGCAGCTGCTCTAATGGCGTACAAACACCATGTTTGGGTGGTCAGCCAGAGAACATGTGTGTTTGTCTGTGTACTCAGGGGTTGCGAGTGTGCTCAAGGGTTGGGAGAATACTCACCTTATGGGTCTCACACTGCCGTGCTAAGTAGTCCAGCCTCTGAGTAAACACTGAGATAATGTGCTGTTAGTTTATCTGGTCTCACACAGTGATGACCAACTCAAACCCCCCCCCCAAAAAAAACCCAGCGAATAAATCAAGTTTCAGCACAAGAATAGTTCAACATGTTGAGAACCTTGTATTTGGGACATATATGAGAAGATTGATACCACTCTCATAAGCGTATGGTAAATACAGTTAGCTTAGCTTAGCATAAAGCCTGGAAACAGCAGTTTCACATTCACCGTACAGTCATGAGAGTGGTGTCAATTGCCTCATGTAGCCCCTGGTTAGAAAGGGATTACGTGTATTTCCCCAAATGTGAAACTATTCCTTTAAGAGGCAGAAATGCACATAAACACAGCAGGTGGTGTTTGATGATCTGAACCTCACCGGACACAGCTGTTGAACACCTGGCTTTGTGTTGACTCCTCTGTTGACCTGCACAACAGTTACAGGCTGAGGAAATAAACAGGGAACTGACTTCCTTTCATTTTTTCCAGATTAGCTGTAATTAGAGGAGAGATTTTTTTCAAACAAACACTCATCGCCACGGCAGCCTTGTCTGTCTTTACAGCTTCATGCAGACGGCCATTAGCGTCTCAACTGCCACAACATCACTCACAGCCTGACGAGCAGGCCCTTCCCAGCTGACCTTCCACTGCTTGTTCCTACCTTTGCTGGCTGGTAAAATGTGCTATTGTGTGCGTCTTTATTGGATTCATGGCCATGATGTGTGAGGCATGGCGTGGTGAAGACAGAGCACGCAGCTGAGTCTGTTGAGTGTACCCATGAAGTTAATGGGAAGGTATTAGAAAGGCATCTATTCTCCGAAGGTAATTACCCCGATAATATATGGCCTGTTGACTGGCCGTGGGAAGGGCCTGAACTGGCATACCAGCGTTCTGTCTAAAGGAGGTCAACAAGTTGGAGCAAAACCCTTGCAGGAGTGTATCCGATGAGGCTCCAGGGTGCGTGTTTATGTTATGTGTAGGTGATGGGACGTGTTAAAATGACTGCATACGCAACATAAAAGAAGCTGCTGAAAACGGGATTCTTTGTGCGAGACTTGATGTTTTTATTTTCTGGTACGAGTGTAGGCTATTAAAATCTGGACGCTAACTTCTGATTTATTATGAAGGAGAATGTCTGTGTGCCTCCTGAGGTGAGAAATTGCAGCGTTTGAAGATAAGCAGCTCAGAGATGTAGTGTGGCGGGGGGGTGGGGGGGGGTTGGGGTTGCTGAGGTCGAGGCTCCATGTGGAAAACTCTTGTGTTCACGCGTGCAAGCAGGAGATGAGATATGCATCTTGTGAATAAAATGTTGATGTTTTACTCAAACACACCGGGAGCTTGATATGCAAAGGAGGTCGAGATGCAGGCACAGTGAAAGTCATAAGAGTTTGCAGCCTCAGGGGACATGTGCACACACACTTGCATATAAACAGAGAGAAGAGTGTTTATTTCTGTGTTTTATGGCATGCAATGTTTATTGTGCGATCCTGCATCATCTGCGGTGACAGGGTGGAATGACACTGTGGTTGCTTCAGCTATCGACAGGCGTCAAGAGGAGGGCCACCAGGGCAACCAGGCAAGCTCTCCTCTCTGCTAAGACAGTACAAGAGTTGAAAGGATAAAGCGGATGATGGTGATGATTCCCTTGTTGAAATTTTGGATCTGTAGCAGGCTCTTATGGAGCCACAGCCACTCAGGCGGCCCAACCTTATTGCCATGTTGATGCCTGTTCTCTTTCATTCAAGGTGGGCTAAAAATATCTGCCCAGGTGGAGGGAACATGAGCATGAGGGGACGCTGTGTCCTCTGTCTGTATCAGCCTGCTCTAATTACTGTGGCTCAACATCCAGTCATGGATCCTGCGCACGCATTGTAGAGGGTGGTGTGATAGAGTGATGTAAAACAGAGAGGAGATGGAGCCACAGTCGTGCAATTACAGCAGGGGAGACTGGGGTTTAGGTAAGACTTGGCTGTGTAGTGAGGGGGGGGGGGGGGGGGGGGGGGGGGGGGGGGGGGGGGGGGGGGGCTGTGTTTCATGTCCCTGCAGTGTGTTTTCTTCACTCTTGGCTTGGCTTGAAAGGAGTCCTCATTTAGCTTACCAGCTGTACTGGTATCTTATCATTAACGGCACTCTGCACTCGAAGGCACTACACATAAATTAACTACACACACACACACACACACACACAGAAAATGACAAAGAGCCGTACTAGAGTCTACTCAAAGGGTTTGTGAGTAAGATAACATGCCAACATGCACACTAGTAGTTAGGGAGTCAAAACCTATAGGTAGCCTGGCTTAGATGAGTTCACTCAGGAAACCAAAGAGGACACCTGCTGAATGCAGGTTATAAAGGTCGACAATTTCCCCATTGTTTTCCTCTTTTCTGCTCCCTGTCAGAGGCAATAAATCAACAGATAGGTAACTTTACTTTACTTCACAGTGACCCAAACATGTCACTGAGTTTTCTGATAAAGTAAACTGACAAGGAAACGTTATACCACCCATTTACTTCCACTAGAGATCATCCTTTGTCCAGCCGCCTGCGGAGGGGAGGATGCACCTGGAGATGAGGTCCCGCAATGGAAATGCAGTTTGCTTGGTGTAAAAGGGATCAATGTGAGCTGAGCGATCAACTGGCAACAACTGAGCTCTCCGATGATCATTATAAAATCCTTCTAATGTATAACAGAATGACTTTACTGCGACTACAGCTATAAAGTGGCTCATTTACAATGTTTTAAGTGTTTTATACAACACATTTTATTTTCTTGTGCCGTCTCTGTGTTGTATTATTCAACCACCAATGCAGGCAACAGATTTGTTTCACAGAAATAAAACAACTAGGTGACACTGTTTCAATTTGTGAGTGGTTCAGTATTGTGGCCTGTCCATTCAGTCTCTCTTTTTTAGAGCTGAAACAATTAGTTAATTGGCCAATTGATAGAAATATAATCCGCATCTATTTTGCTTTTCACACAGAAACGCCAAACATGTCCTTGTTTCAGCCTCTGTGTTTTTAGGATTTGCTGCTTTTGCTTGTCCTATGTGACGCTAAACTGAATGGAGAGCCTGTGCATTCCCTATGACTTGACATGGGATAGTACAGGTCATCAGCTTTTGTGTAAAAGAGTTCAACAGAGGTCAGGCCACGCATTTGGAAAAACGTGTTAAACACAAGTCCCCAGGGAAACATTAGTCTGTTTAATTTGATCATCACGCTGAGTGAAACAGCCACTCCCATCAAACTATTTCATAGTTTGAGCAGATAGATGAATTCAGGGCCTTTGGGAGCGGTTACAAAACAATCTAAGCTCAAAGGTCCACTTACTAGCTTTTCTGAACTTTCAGCCACACATTACGGTCTTCATTTAGCAAACGGATCATGTCATTTATACTACGTGACTGTGATTATCCTAGATATCAAGGATCAACAGTTACATCGATGAGGTCCATGAATTAATGTGATTAGTTCTTTATAGGCACAATAGACACTGAATTAGGAATTAATCAATAAATCTTTTTGTTTTTAAAGGTCAAAAATAGTGAAAAATAGAAGAAGTTATACATTGCTTTGTTTTATCTGAGAAACAAATATGTTCAGTTTAGTGTCATGTATGACAAAGAAAATCAAGAAGTGCTTGAATTGAAAGGAAAAATCGATTATCAAAATAGTTGGTCGTTCATTAATTGACTAATCCTACCAGCTGAATCCTGAATTATTTCAAACAGTTTCTCTAGGACCTGTGAGGACAAATAAGATACTGTGGTTTCTAGTCAGAGCTCATTAGACCTGGTCTGTGTCCCAGATGAAGGTGTGTGGGTGTCTCATCACAGCACCCTGTCTGAGAGGATACACGTAGTGGAAACGTGCATGTTCGCAGTTCAACAGACTTTCAGTGACTGCACGTCCTAATCACATCCTGCAGTCTGTAAGTTGGCCTTTTCCTTCTACAAACATGCTCTTAGCCATTAGCCCCAATACTGGCCTCAAAGAGGGAAA